GGCCCCTTTGTCCTAAGCACTGTGTAAATGGATCAAGCTTTCTTTCTCTCTGCTAATAAAACATGACGTTTCTTCCAAAAGCTGTTTTAATGTCACTAAAGGCTCTTTCTTCGTCTCATTTCTAATTGATGGCTGCAAGAAATTAGCCAGCAGCCAATGTCTAGCATAAGTAATAGCGAAAGTTGATGTGTATTTTATCAAAAGCAAACCTCCTCTGCATGTTTTCACCCTTCTCTCCATCTCTTTCATTCTTGTTGTTGTTCTTCTGAGGAGAAGTTCTTAACAATTGTTATGATCAGATGTGGGTTTTAGTGATTTTCAGATGTGATCTGAAAGTTTGAGAGCTCCTCAGTTAGGTGATCCAATCAGGAAAGAAAATCACCCACTGACTTCTCTCCATCCCATCACCTGAATTATTTCTCTTGACTGTTCTAAAGCAATCCTGCTGAGAGCAGTGCCCACACTCGGTAGACACAAATATGTTGATGAATCTGATTTGACCACATGTTCAGAAGCTGTGATTATTCACAGTATGCAAAGTGTGAAGAGCTGAAAAGAGTAATTCTGAGAGTGTGACTGTTAGCAAGAAAAAGACCAAGGGTCAACACAGAAAACTGAGCTCTCTGCTCCGCAGCGCAGATAAACGTTGTCATCTCAAGCAACTGAAGTTACATGGAGGTGAAGCGGATAATTTGTATTCCCAAGACTCTGTTTGGCTTTAACCACTGATGATAGCCCGTACGCATCTTTGGGCTGGTACAGGCAAGTGCTGTTAATTGCAGGTCGTAGATGCACTAATGCTGACTCTAGGACATGGTACTGACTCTACAAATGCTTGATGGATAGGCGTAGTTGCTCTCATGGAGATTAACAACCAGGTTTGAAGTTGCTATTTTGCTTTATCTTTTTCTATTATTCTTTCTCTGTGTAATAGCTTTTTTTGGTGTCTTTTTTAACATGTTATTATAGCAATCACAGACGTTTTCTTTTTTCTTTCCTGACTTAAAGTTAAGCTAGCATTTGTTTCCGAGTCCAATTGTAAGAGGTGAATTTGAGCTTAACCTTTTCTGCTTGTGCTCTGGTCACCTCCTAATTTCAGTGAATTACTCTGTCATTAAGAAATGCTTTGCGCTCACCGCTGTAAGTGCAGAGTCCATTAGGAATGTGCCCAGTCCATTAGGAAAGGCTCCAGCTGTACAAGAAGACAGCACTTTTGTTACTACTTTTTATCCTCTCTCAAAGCTTGTAAACAAGCCGTATCATAAAAGCCATTCAGTCAACTGCTTGTTTAGACTCACGTCTTTATCTCCAGGTGAATCTTTTTGACTTGATTGGTTTGAAGCTCAAGTGATAAATCTAGTCTGGCTTCACTGGCTGAGTAAGTATCCGTTCACACAAGTTGCTCAGAAACACAAAAATCCCACAAGGTGACTTCCCCTTTTCATGACCCAATGAAATGCTGCTGCAGGAGTACCTGGGATACGTGAACTCACCGGACTGCCAGTCTGCTATGAATGTCTTTAGCAAGACTGTGCTGTACACAGAGACTTACTCTCTGCTTTTGCACCAGAGATGAAGAAATTCACCTCTTTGAAGGACTTGAGTGGATCACAGGCTGCCTGTACAAGGATGGATTTCACTCCAGCAGAAAGGGGAAAAACTTTTTCTAATAATATCTCAGCATTTGGTGACATCTGGGAAGAAATGAGCATTTGAGAGGCAACATGCCTCTGCAGATCAAGTCCTATGTTCTTCATGGGACAATTTCCCACGACAATGGTTACCCCTCCGACACTTTACATGTTACTTCTACCATTTGCCTTAGGTGCCCAACATTTAGCTGAGCTGGTTTTCTACTCGGAGGAGCAAGATGGAGCAAGGACTTACTCATTCCACTTAGCTAAGTCATGTCCGTAGGGGGATCATCTGTTATGCTCCATTGTCTATATTGAAAGCATAAATAATTGTCCAAGACTAGGTGTCAAGCTTTCAGATGAGATGCATCCCCCCCTTGTATGTACTCTGGCACATATATTTGCCTTTGGGTGTGTATTATATCCTCCCTTAAATCCAGAATCAGAAATAAGTATCCCTTTGCCACTCCAGGTAGAACCACAATAGGTTTGCAAATAGTGGGCGTCTAGGAAAGTGCAACACCGTGACGCACCTTTCCACTGTTTGTCATGTTTCAACAGGAGGGTTCAGTGAGCCGGTGAGGTCAGTTTGATGGACAGTGAAAGTCATCAGTCCAGGATGGCTTCTACTGTAGTAGTTAGTATGTGACTGAGTCAGCCCATCCTGATTCTGTCTATCTCATGTAACTGCCTCATTTAACTCATTTTGTAAACTGGCCAAATCCCTTCTTGAAACTAGCGGAGGCATGTTGTACCGCTGCTTCGTAATGAGAGGCTCTTCCAGAAATCCCCTGCACTGTTGTTTGACCACATTATGCTCATTCTCACCACAAATTCGTTCATGATGGTCATGCTTCTCCTGGCAGTACCGTCTTTTAACTTCAGTCCTTCTTTCACTTGGATGTTCACTCTTCCCCTTCTCCAGGCAAGCAGTCCTATCCCCTCGTAGCCTTTATTTTTCTAGGGTCTATCCCACCTATTAAGTCTAAACCCCATTATTTTGTATTGAAACAAATTCAAAATCAAAAGAAAGAAACCCAGTGTGGCACTCTTCTCACCTTACTATAAATGTTTGCATCTGCTTGTCTTAAGTGCTAAATCAAGCAGCACAGATCATACACAGTCAAGAAAACAACCAAAGAAAGAGATCCTCGGGTCCATTTTGCCCAATCTGCACCTTCTAGAAGGGCTCTGGTAGAAAAGCCAGATTTCCAGCTTCAGGATTCCCCTGACAAGGCACCAAAGAGGGCAGTTGCAAAACTGTTTTCCAAGTTGATACTCGCAAACCTGAAATGGAGTGTATTTCATGGGCAAAGCTAGTGATGAGAAGAGATTATTAAGTGCCAGACCACAGCACTGCGAACTGTCTAAGTAGTAGCGCTACAGACGATGAGTCTAAGTCCCTCAAGGCCCACCAAGACATAGGAGGATTGAAATCATCTGAGAGAAGGACTGCAAATCCCCCCCTTCCCATGTCCTTCTTATGAATTGTTGTATGTTTTAACTATCAGGCCACCATTCCTGTTCATTGAGGACACCTAATACTGACCGTGTGTGGTTTGGGTGGGAAATACCTCTGCTAATAGAGCTGATCAGCTCATCTGAGCAACTGTTAGACAGCATGTTGGAACCAGTCTGAAGTGGGGTTTGGAAGTGTGTGTTCATTGTGTTTTGAGTAGGCTTCCCACTGCACCTGAGGACAGGCCCCAGCTTTCAAAAGAAATGAAGAAAAGCGGTGGCTTTTGTGCACCTTTGGGCAATTTGTTTCAACACCATGTTCCCTGCAATCCCAGCGGTGATTATAGGTACACCTGGGATGGCTTTGATCTGCCTCAGGTGCTGATAGCTGAGAAGCTGTGTCAGCATGGGTTTCACACAGGCTGTGCAAGCTCATCCCAGGCCTTGTACAGTTGCCATGGTAGCTGATCCGTGTTGAGGTCTTCTCTACAACAACATGACTGCTATTAATACCCAGGCTTTAGCCTGCCGGTGGTAAAATGGGGATAAGAGCACTCCTTTGCTTTTGAGGGATGCAGTGAAGATAAGTACATTAAAGATGGAAAAACATTCAGGGTAAGATATCAATATTGTCTAAATTTAGCTAAATTTATAATCCAGACATCTAAAGCAGAGCTAGTTGTCTAGACTCACTTTATAACTATTGAAAAGAAATAGGTATTTTTCATCTGACCACAATATCTGGACTACTTTGGACATCTGCTTTAGGAGGAGATGAGTCATACCCTTTGACCGTACTGGCTGGTTCTCTCTTGTCCAGGAAGAGAACTACCGGTCAGTAGCTGAGGTGTAATGCTACATTATATTATTTATAACCCCACCTTCTAAACAAATGTGGTTTTGGCAAAGGAGGCTCTGGCTTGATATAGAGGTTGGATGTAAAAATGCTCTTTTTTCAAAGTTGACTGGATTTCAGGTCGGCAGCAGAATGGCAACGTCCTTTCCGATGTCATGAGTACAATTACCCATTGAATGTCCGAGAAGCTGGGCCCAGTTTCATCTCACCTAATTTTGTAGCCTTCCCTAGCTGCCTGGGTTAGGGGTCTGAATTGCTCTCGTCTCTACAGTAAGCAGAGATCAAAAAGAATTTCTAGAAATTGGCCTAAATATTTCATCTCAGCTTCTGACTTTGAGTCTTCTATGCCAGTGATCTGGCAGGAATTGATTACAGTCTATGTTAGGAGTATCTTAAGCTTTCCCTCCCATTGTGTTTGAGGCTAGGGTTCCTATCGCCTGTCTTTCTCCTGCTTGTATACACATGTATTTGAGCAAGAGATCCTGGGCTCTCTCTTTGCTCCATGCAAAAAAATGTGCACTTAAAAGTTCAAGATTCAACTGGCATCTTTGTAAGCATCTGCTTGAGGATGACCTTCTGTTGACCGTAGAGCAGCTCTCCGCTGCCTGTACAAGGAGCTCACAGGGCTTAGGTCAGGTGTGTCGATGTTGTAGACACCGTTGTTTATTTAGATGGTCTGTGATTCCCCTTCATAGACAAGGGAAGCGGGGCAGCTACAGCCCCGGTGATAGATCTCTCTCAGGTGCATCCATCTTGAGGGCTTGATTCAATTGCATAAGCTTAGGCATTTATTGCCATTTGAAATGCTCTGGGGTATTTAAGGCGTCAGATGTGAGACATGAGATATGTGAAACCCATGCTTTTCCCAGAGTGCGGTACCCAAGAGAATATCAAGGGAACCAGATGCCCATGTTAGGCAGCTGAAACAAGCCCTGCATGTCTCAGTGGCGCGACACCTACCATCATTTGTCTCAGTGCTGTCTAGTGTCCCTTTACAGAGGACATCTGAGTCTTCTAAGTGTTCATGTCCTCCTTTTTTTCTTTTTCACCAGGTCCGTTCTGCTGCCAGGAAAAGATGGCATCGCTGGCAAGACCATCACTCCCTCCGAGTGCGTGTGGCTCGTGCCATGTCTATCCCCACCTCTCCGACACGAATCAGCTTCCACAGCATCAAACAGACCGCAGCCGTGTGATATGCCCCGCACATACACGCACCACCTGGTGGCCTTCAGGGTTCTTCTTTCTTCACTCTCCACAAGCCCCTTTCTTCAAACTTTCTTCCTTTATTCTGCACTGCTCTCTTTTGCAATGAGGTGCCCGTCGTATTTTTGTGGACTCTCATCTCCCATGTTCGTGGTGCTGCTTTAAGGCAAAAGCCTCTTGGAGCAGGTGGTGGCGAAACAGATTCAGAGAAGAAAGAGATTCAGCACTGACTACACCTTGTGGAAGTTGACAATACAAAGTCTAGAACAGCACACTGGCAGGAACAATCCATTTTCTTCTCCTTTCTTTTGTTTTTGCCTTCTGTATTGTGGTGAACAAAGACTATTTTTGACATACTGCCCACCTCACCCTGTACATTGATTCCCAATGATTTCAACAGTTTGGTGTATAGATAGCCCGTCTCTTTCTGGTTTCTTTGTAAAAATTTCTTCTCTCTGTCATTTGAGAACATGTGGCAGCAAGAAAAAGAGCACCTGAAAGGTGGTGTGAAAAATCTGAATCTACTTACCTTCCCGATTTCTCCCTTTGATAGACTGGGAGTTGGCCAGGGCATCGCTGGACTGTTTAACACAGGGCACTTTGCCTTGTAAGAACCACGCCCTGTTCATACACAGAATTTTGAAAAGGACAGCAGTATCTCTAGCTAGCTCTATAGAACACCCTTATTCCTCTTAACCCCACGCTTTTGACACAATGTAAGTAGCCTTTGGAAAGTCTTCAGGTTTTTTTCAGCTAAGAGGATTGGGGTGGGGAAGGACAACTGAACATGTTTTCTGGGTTTAAAAAAAATATAAAAGGGAAGCACTGTAAAAATAATAATGAGAAGAGGATGTTTGCATTTTGAGGATAGTGCTACATGCTGCACAAAGATTATCTATTGAGCATTTTCAACTAGAGCAGTTGTATCTACTAGGCTTTTTATGTGATGTTCAAAAATACTGTATATTTTCAATAATAAACACTACTCTGGGTTGGTTTCAATAAAACCAGGCATCATTTTCTTTACTCTGGAAAGGAAGAGAACACCTATCTTGAGAGTGGTTTTATAGCTAAGATCAGGGAAAGAAATTCTGTTGGATAATTAGCCAATAAAAAGAACAACCTCACGATAAAATCTGAGCAAGAGGGCATTTAAATGCAAGACTAATTGCCTTCCTTCTCAGCTCATGGTGTTACACTGGATCCCTGTCCCTCTGCACTCCCCTTCCCTCCATTGGGCTTTGCAACAAGCAGAAAGGAAAAAGCAAGTTGTGTAACTATATTCTCCATCACCTGTATCTCACCAGTGCTGGAGTCATTTTCCCTTCCCACTTTGGCATGCTTATTCTGAATTTTCTTCACATGTTTTAGAGGACTTTCCAGCACAAGATGGGTTTAAATCTCCACATTTAAATTGGTCTCTTTCTAGTTTCCAGGACTACCCAAGGCTGGAAAATAACCTGGAAGACACTGATGTTAATCCCCTGCTTTTGGAGGCATTCTGTCCTAACAGCTTGATCACATTCAACTTTGAGCTGATTGGCAATGCACAGCAAATTTAAATTAACAAATTAAAATTCTGTAACTTTTCTACCTCCTAACTGTCATTTGGGTTCATGTGCCTCAGTGAGATAACTGAGGGAGGAGGGAGAAGATTTGAGATTCTGTCTAGTTAGACCTATCCTCTCTGCCAAAGAGGAGGAGCAGGGAAGAGTCTTCACATAGCCTTCCATGTGGCATGCCAACCAGCGTGATAGATCCCAGTGCGGCAGGGATACAAATAAGACTGGAAATGTGCCTGCCTGTGCCACTCGTTGCTGTGCATGCCGTGAGTTCTGCAAAGCGATGAGAACCGTGCTCGTGGTAGCTGGGAAACAAAAGTGTCTGATGAGAGAGGAGTGTGTCAGTGCTTTTATTCGTTGCATGCATCACAATAGCAGTGCACAGCCTCCTGGCGTTTTGTGTTTGAAGGGACAGATGTATCTACAGGGTAGAAATATGTGGATTGAGTACCTCTGTGTTTGCTCTGTCTCTAGGCCAGTCTGGGATGGAAAAGGGATTTGCAATGCCACAGATACTGTCAGAAATTGCAGGTTATTGTTGCGATCAGGAGTGTATTTTCACAGAAATTAAAATCCTTTTTCCAAATAGTATTTGTCCAAAGCAGAGATTTTCAGTCCTTCCAGCACTGGACCCTGTTTCAAGCCAGCACGGTGGGCATAGAGCATTGAGGGGATATTGCTTATGTTAATTTTGAAGTGATTGCCATGCTAACACATACACTACCTGTACTTGTTTTGCCGTGGAAGCTTTCTGACTCTGTCATGCCTGAGGTACTGACAACCACGGCCCATTTTCTCTAGAGCACTGTGATGAAAATCAAGCTTCAATTTCTACCATTAGCCTTGTAAGAGCAAGATTTCAGACCATCCTTGGAAGAGCAATAACAAATTATTTTGAGGGTGGGGTTTTTTTGTCTTCTCAGAGTGCAGAGCAGGGGAGAATGTTGGAGACAGCTACGTGTGTGACTGAACACAGCACATCTAGGGGAGTCATGGAGGCCAAGATTGGAAAAAAAAAGAGTCAGGGTCTAGGTTGTATCAGGCAAAGTCCTAGGGGGTGACTGCTTTGTGACAGCTAGTGGAAGGAATATTTGCACCAACTGAGGGTTTCCTATCTGAGATTGAACACATGAGGCTCAAACCAAAGCTCTTCACATTATATACAGTGAGCTCTACCTTTTCTGCACATGGCTGCCCTGTAGACAGCCAATGACTAGTTTGTAGTCTGCCTAACCTTTCAGTGGGCACCAAAAGCTCCTGGTCAGCAACAAGAAGTGGAATATCTCTGTCTTGGATCTCATGTTCCAGTTCCTCTGGAGCCACAAGCTGAGGCAAATTATCTGTGGGCTCTCCGCATTTGCAAGGTGGTCACTGTCAGTCGGTTTTCTAGGCAGACATTTGAAGTCTCTGGAAGGACTTACTGGTGTGGGTAGAACTGGTGTCAGGCTCACATTTTCCATCTTAGTATCCCTTTCTGGTTCCCTGTCTTTCCCTTTCCTCAAGATCAAGGACAGGCAGACCATAGGGCAGTCAAGATCTCCTGATGAAAGCTGCCATAGAAACAGGGAGTGGCAAGTAGTCTCCATGGAAATAGTGCTTTGAAGGCTGTTTTTCTTTCCCCTAATCTGTCAACTGATCAATATCATGTTATTGCTTCCTTAAGTTTACCTGTCTGCCTGTATCCTTCTTTTGGTTTTACTAGGTGCAGTAAAACCCTACTCGATACCACGACTGCGAGTCAGTATAGCGCATGTTAGCTGTGAAACCAAGTTGCTCTTCACGTTTCAGAGTTGGAAGAGCTAGAACTCATCTTGAGTTTTCCTCACTGCTGTGGAAATACACCCAGCTCTGAAATACAAGTGCAGTGCAGCAACACTTTCACTGGGCTGGTTTCTTTCTCCTATAATGGGGTATTTTCTTTTTCTTAATAGACACAAAACACAACTTTGTGGGCACAGCTGCATCTGCCCTTGGAGTGCTTAGACAGAGTGACTCGCCTTTATCCTGTGAAGCCTGCCCTTTGTCAGATGAGACTCCGCTAGTACTGTAAGGAAGGGATCATCTTAATCCTGTGTGTCTGCATGACACCTGGCATCATATAGTTCTCAGCCACAAGTGGAGTCTCGGGGCAGTATAAAGGACCACGGTGACCATCACTGGAATGGAGGACTTGTCCTGTCAGTGGAGCAAAAGTACAATCCGGGCACAGGATACTGTTCTTCCAAAGACTCACTTGACATTACGTAGCTCTACAAAAGTTTCAGCTGGAGCTAGTTCCTTCTGTGATCGTTGGAGAACTGTTCAATACGGTCAATGGAGTCCAAGGTATGAATCATCTCATCCTAAAGTAGGTGTGTACAATAGGGCAGGGGAGTTGCACCTAACACTTATTTTGTCCCTGAGTTATTTGCTTCTGTAGAGACAGACCCAGTGCAAAATTTGGTAGCACATCAGTGACATGGAATGGGATATTGTATCCAGTAAGCAGTAAGGGGATGGTAACAAGTCCTTTTTGTGCTCTTCGCAAAACTAAGGAGTCCAGGTACCAGAACTGGAATTGAAGAATTGCCAGATCTATCTAGGTCTGATGTAGATGCTGTTAGCCATGCATCTTTCTAGTCCCATGGTGTGGCTACAGAAAGAAGTAAGTCTTATCTAGACCCTGTGGATTGCACAACCAAACTTTTGAAGGACTGTGGTGTTATCCATATACCTAACCTTAAATCTATACTGTCCAGATCAAATCCAGATGTCTAGCAGTCTGAGTAGAAAATAAATTTGGCAGATGAAGTGAACTAATGTCTCTGGCAATAGACATTCAACTGCAGGGTTTGCTTTCACAAAGTCCTTGAGAGCTCAGAGTCGTTGACCTCACAGTAAACCACTGGAATGCATTGATGCCAGGGCACTGGCCTTGTATCAGTGTTTTCAGGGCTATATTTGAGATGACCTGTTTTCACTCACAATAAATATTCACTAAACGTTTAAGATCAATAGACAGATGAATACACCTAAATTCGGTCTCTGTCTCAGTAAGTCAGATGTCTGATCTCCCATTACACTTTGTGCATGACTAAGCAAATTGTGCAGCAACTGCAGAGCCTCTTAGCTGGCCGTCAGGAGGTATCTGCTTCAGGAGGAGCTCTTGGCCTTGCTGGATGGAACACATCTCTTGGCCTTGCTGAGGGCTTGATTCAGTCACCTAAATACACTCTTCTAGTATCATTTCAGATGCCCCAGGAATCCCAGCTGCCTTCTAGCTGTCAGTCCAGAAGAGTAGCTGTACGGCCTGTGCATATGTCCCACCTTCTCTAAGCTCTTTCAGGCGGAAAGAGACACTTACGAATGTCTTTTACACTTGTACACTTACTCAACCACTTCTCTGCTCTTCCCCTAGGGAGAAATCGAGTTGGACAGGGTCAAGTCAGCTAATCCAGGGTCCTGTGAATAAGCCTCTGTTAGCTGTAAACAGAGTGTAGGGAGACCTAGTTAGCCAAGGAAGCTAGGAGGGACCGTGGTGGATTTTTCTTTCATCAGTGAGTTCGATGCAAAGCACACTGAAGCCATTAAGATTTGCACTGCCTAAAGAAATGAGGCTACGAGGGGCTGTCTCCTTTTTCTGCTATTAGGCATGACTCAAGGGTAAAAATATGGTACTCTTTATTTTATTAGTGCAAACAATTTGAAGGAGATCAAAATAACCTTTCCGACTCTGCAAGTTCTCA